GCTTGGAAAGTCAAAATAAAAAGTTTTAATAAATAAAAATAGTTGGTGGTGAAATAATAATGTGCAAGAAAAGATAAAATATGAGAAGTTATGTTAGGAAAATTAGTTTAAATGTAAAAGCTTAGAGAACTGGGAAAAATATCAAACAACCCGCAGGAAGTCTAAAAGAACAATCTGTGACGCTAAAAATTCTGCTTTTAATGATCTTTATAATACATTAGATACTAAGAATGGTGAAAAATATATGTATAAACTAGCCAAATAAAGAGAAAAGAAAAGTAATGATTTAAATCAAGTAAAGTGTATTAAAGATGAAAATCAAAAAGTATTTTTCTTAGAAAAAAAATATTCAACATAGATGGGCGAGTTATTTTGATAAACTTTTTAATGAAGTTTCTGAAAATACGATCGACCTTAGTGATCTTAATATTGTGAATAATAATAAAACGTTTCATTTTTACCGTTGCGTTAGTAAAAAAGAACTTGAGGAGGCTTTAAAGAAAACTAAGGGAGGAAAGTCTGTAGGACATGATGATATCCCAATTGAAGTGTGGAAATATTTAAGAGATTTGAAAGTTTCTTGGCTTACTAAAATCTTTAATATTATTTTAAAAGCTAAAAAGATGCCTGAGAAGTGGAGGAAGAGTATTTTGGTCCCCATTTTCAAGAATAAAGGGGATAAGAGTGTGTAAATTATATAGAATTTAAGTTGATGTGTCTTACGTATTATGTGGGAGAGTAATTGGGCATAGGTTAAGACATGATACAAAAATTTCTCACAATTAGTTTGGTTTTATGTCGAGCAGGTCTACTATGGAAGTTATACATTTATTGAGAGGTTTGATGAAAAAGTTCAGAGATAATAAGTAGAATCTACATTTGTAGAATCTACATTTGATAAAAGCTTACGATAAGGTTCCAAGAGATATCCTTTGGAGAGTTCTCGAGAAGCATCCTTTGGAGAGTTCTCCTTTGGAGAGTTCTTGAGACAAAAGATGTTGATATGACTTATATTCAATTCATTAAAGATATGTATACTAGAGCTGTTACTGGTGTTCAAACTGAAGGAGGATTATCCATATATTTTCCTATTTCTGTTAGATTATATCAAGGATTGGCTTTAAGCCCATATCGTTTTGCTTTAGTTATGGATGGTCTTACTGGACATCTACAGGAGGATGTACCTTGGTGTATGCTTCTTGCCGATGATACCCTTCTCGTGGATAAAATGAGAGAAAAAACCCAGAAAAAACTTGAATTATGGAGGTCTAAATTGGAGTCTAAACGCCTTCATTTAAGTAGAACTACCTTCATTTAAGTAGAACTAAAACTAAATACATGGAATGTAATTTTAGTACTAGTAGCTCTATTGACATAAGTGTGAATTTGGGTGATCAAATTATTAAATCCCAAACTATTTCATCGTCGCCTTGATCAGCAGGTGGATCGGGTTGATTGTAATATAGACGGAGATGTTAATAGTAGACTTCAAGTTGGTTGGTTGAAGTGAAGGAATGCTTCAGGCCTTTTGTGTGATAGAAAAGTACCGCTTAGACTGAAAGGAAAATTTTATATGACAGTGGTGAGACATGCAATGCTCTATGGCGCTGAATGTTGGCCTTTAAAAGAGAAGCATAATAATAAGTTATGTGTTGCCGAGATGAGAATGATTAGGTGGATGAGTGGCTTTACACTTAGAGACAAAATGCGAAATGAATATATCTGTGATAGGGTTGGTGTAGTTACGAACAAAAACAAAACTAGAGAAAGTCGTCTTAGATGGTTTTGTCACATTAAACGTCAACCATCTGATGATTCAATTAGGAGAGTAGATGTTTGATCCGATTAGAAGAGTAGATGTTTTAGATTCGACTTGTGTTATGAAAGGCAAATGTAGACCAAGGAAGGCTTGGGCTTATTGTATAACAAATGATCTTAATTTGTTAGAGCTAAATGCAAATATGACACTAAATAGGAAACAATGAAGAAAAAAGATTCATGTAGCCGACCCCTTATAGTGGGATTAAGGCTTTGTTGTTGTTGTTGTATACTTTTTTCTTTCATTTATCAATAAATTTTTCATGTACAATAGAATTTTACTACTAATATGGAGAAGAACCTCCTTACTCTTCATTAATATTGATAGGCTCATCATATTGTTATATGTATTCTTTGCCCTATTAGCACTTTTTTTTATGTATACTTCTTAGATTTTCTTATATTGGTATATGCATTCTCTGTTCCATTGGTACTGTTTTTTTTCCTCATGTACTTTTAAATTTTTATCATGTTTGATGACAAACAATATAGGATGCTTTATTAATTAAAGTAGGTTCATAATATCTTATTTTATTCTATTTATACCCCCACTTTAATTAATAATTCCATAATGCAAGCACATATACTATTGCTTTCCGTCAGATTATATATTTTTAATAAAATGATTCCATACCGGATCAATTTTCTCACAGACACAATGAAAAGAAGCTATAGACCAACTTTCAAATGATTCTACCCTATGATTAGCAAAGAAATAAATTAAATGATTGCTATTTAAATAAACAAGTGTAATAAATTCCAAAATGGCTCTTGTTAACTCTAACCTAATTCAATATTCAAATATTCAAGAAAATCTATTTCATATAAATAAAAAAATGAGAATAATTATTCTTGGGTTGAACTTTAAAGTGCTATCTTTCATAATAGGCGTCACAAAACTTTAACATAGAAATTTTTATTTCAAAAATAAGAATTAAAGTTTGACAACTCTATGTGAAAAAGTGCTCAAACTAACCAAGAGATGATATACACCTATTTTAAAAATTCAAAAACATAGTTAGAACAAATAATTATTCGTAATTGCTCATTCTAATTGAAAGATAGAAAGTTTTCTGATTGATTGTTTCATTAATTAGTGATCAAAATTTAAAACACAGACAAACTCAACATTCATTGATATGTGCAGTATAAGAATATCATAACTATTCGTGGATCATATTTTTATATTCAGTTAGAAGCATATCATTTCTCAAAAAAAAAAAAAAAACCAATGAGACAGGAGATAAGATAAAGTTATATTTATTTAAGGAATAATTAAAAAGATACTAACTTGTTAACAATACCTTAGTAGATAAAGCTTAAAGTTCTTGGTGAAGAGTTTCCGAAGACAAGCAAGGTCAACCTATATTTAAAGCAATAACAAAATATAGCTATTTCGTGACTAAAAGCTCCAAATTTTATTTGTCCAACACGAAAGTAAGCCTAAAATAGATAAACCTCTATTTTGACTAATTATTAAATAAATGTTTGGCCTTGACATAGATAAACACCAAACAATTCCTTCACTTCAACAAAGCAATTAACTACAATTCAAACTTTTTTTCTTGATAAATTCAAATTCAAAACTATATAAATCACAAACCATCATGTATAATTATTTTATTTGGAGCAAATTAGTAATTCTGAAGCCGACCAAACTGAAATGGTGCAAGCATATACAAAACTAAAATAAAATAAAAAACTTAGATCACAAAACATTAAAGCCTAATATGGCTACACCTTATTACACATAAGAACTCTAACTTAAAATACAAAAATATAATAGATAAAAAGTCTAATTAAATCAACTATGTTATAATCAAATTAAATCCATATGAATAAAATATGATATGATAAATACTTATTTAGGAAGATTTAGGGATTAGTTTCTTATCACTATCACCTGGCATGGTAAAACCCTAGAACTAAGAAGGTTGGCCTGAAAACTAAAATTATATCTTTCTAAAATTAATGGACTCGATGATCGACAAAATGACGGCTGAGAGCTTATAAGTAGCCTAACGAAGGGATTAGGATTGCAAGAGGGACACGTCACCTTTTCACAAAAGAAATTGGAATAGGGTTTCTTTTTAGTTATGCTATTATTATATTAAGGATTATTACTTTTTTATTTGTATATATAAGTAATATTTAAAAAATGTTATAAAATTATATCAGACTAATAAAAGAAGGAACTTGTCGAATCTTAAAAATTGGGATGAATTCTTTGGTTTGACGGTTGAACCGCCAATTAGATGTGGCTCTGCCAATTTGATGTGGGGGACAATTTTTGGTAGAAACCAAATCGAACTTCATACCCGTTTACTTTCAAACTAGCAATTCGATTTAATTTTCACAACCATGCTAAAAATAATCACAGTATGATACTAATTAAAGTAAGCATTTAGGGTCCAAAAAAATAAAATAATTTGTAAAAGATAAAATCTAAAATATGTACATATAATTCCATGCAAAGCAAAATGCTTAGAACTAATGAAAAATCCAATCGAAAAACCAAAGGCAAACATTATAACTAAATCATCCACAACCAAGCTAAAGATTAAAAGCTATACATGTGGAAATTCAATATATGCTTATTATGCTAATGATACCTTTGTAGCTGTAAGCTAATTAAATCATAAGTTTTAAAATGATATTTACAAATTCTAGTATGAATTTGATAAAATTGAAATATTATATATATATATATGAAAGTGAGGAGAAGCTTGAG